TCTATACCTCCCCTTCTGCTGTAGTGCCAATGCTTCTCTGCTTCCACAGAGGCTTTTGGAGGCAAATGCTCTTTCTCAGGGGTGATAGGGGTGCAGGTCACCCTACTAATCAGCTGAGTATAAATCTGTGTCCACTTGTTTCTGGAGATGCCTTTGTGAGACCTGGGCAACCCCATTTCCCAGACAGATAAATGCCACTTAGACAAACTAGCAGAGGGAACTGGCTTCCTCCCTAAGCATCATGCTTGCCATAGAGACAGCACTATTTTCTCAAATGGGAAAGTAAATTCTGTGCTAGGAAAAGTGAGAGACAGAGCAGGAAGGTTGGAGCCAGCCCAGGGGAAGACGACTAGAAAATGTCTCCTCATATTCTTCCTCCCTCAAGCAGGCCTCTCCTGCACAGAATTCCTGGCATTTATCAGAGAAAAGCTTTTCACAGTACATTTTTTCCACAGTAAAAAATAAGACAGATAGACCTAGGAACAGCCACCCTAGTTTTGTCTAAAAGACCATTTGACCACAACTGCAGCCCAAAGAGGGCACACAGGGACACACTGGGTTAGGCTACAGCCATTCATCCTCTGTGGGGTCACACTTAGCTACAAGGACACAGAGCTGGAAGGGATCTTAGGTATAATCTAGTCCAACCTCCCAAATCCCCAGTTGAGAAAATGGGCCCAGACAGGAGTGGTGACTTGCCCTGTTCATACAACAAGTTACTGGAAAGAGAGTGGACCAGGTATTTCTGACTGGCAACTAAGGGACTAACCATCATCTTACAGCCTTCATCCTATCCTTGTTTTCATCGCTGTTTGAGAATAAATGCAATTCAGCAGGTATTTATGGAGGACCTGCTTTGTTCGAGGCACCATTTGGGCACTGGGGATGGAGAAATGAATGACCCAGACAATGACCTCAAGAAATATACTGTATCCTAGGGGAGATATTTATGTAGAGAAAGAAGTCTAAGGGAGCATAACAAACCCAGGCCAGGCCCGTCACCTGAGCTCCTGAGCAATGGCCCCTTCCTCAGTAGTTGTACTGGCTGCACTGAATTATGAGTGATTCCACTCAACCCTGAGATCCTGGAAGGCAAGGACTGGCTTATTAATCTGTGCATCCACAATGCCCACAGCAGTGTTTAATATATGGATGGTGCTTAGTAAATATTTTCGAATAAATGAGTAACTGTTTCACTTAAAACATAGTAACTAGGGAAGTTATTTAACATTCCTATGACTCAGTTTCTTTGTCTATAAATTAAAAATAAGTATTTTATTTTCCAACTCTGTGGACTAGGTTGAATTAGAATAACTATGTTGCTAAGGACTATAAAAGTATGTGTATATACATATACAATATACACTATATATATATATATATATAAATATATACATGCCTTTAAAGTAATGTATACATATTATTTGTATGTATATATATCTTAAATTAAATATACAGACCTTTAAAATAATATATACATACATATTATTTTTTAAGTGTATTGGCAGGAAGGCAGTGATGACCTGAATTGTCGAAATCCCAAAGAGAAAGAAAATGTTACCCCAACGTTTGGAGCCAGTTTTCCCCTTGATATGGTTTGGCTCTGTCCCCACTCAAATCTCATGTTGAATTGTAATCCTCAATGTTGAGGAGGGGACCTGGTGGGAGGTGACTGGATCATGGGGTGGATTTCCCCCTTGCTATTCTTGTGATTATGAGTGAGTTCTGATGAGATGTGGTTAAAGTATAGCACTTCCCACTTCACTCTCCCTCTCCTGCTCTGCCATGTGAAGGCATACTTGCCTTCCCTTCACCTTCCAACATGACTGTGAGTTTCCTGAGGTCTCTCCAGAAGCAGAAACCCATACAGCCCATAGAACCATGAAGCAGTTGAACGTTTTTTTTTTTTTTTTTTTTTTTAATAAATTACCCAGTCTCAGGTAGTTCTTTATAGCAATGCAAGAACAGACTGATACACCCCTCTGACTTCTAAAAAGCAGCCAAGAGACTGAGAAGCTGGGCAGCAAATGGTGGCTAAGGAGCTGAGAAGCTGAGCAGAGCTTTTAGTAGCACTCATTTTTTGGAAGTTAAAAATTGGGATTAAGAGCCCACCAAGGTGGAGAGACACTGGTAAACACATGGAAGGTCAACACTCTAGGAGCAATGATGAATTGGAAACAGGCTGGACATCACAAAAACTAAAGCACAGATTCAAATCAGTTCAATTCCAGAGTTGATTAATCTAATTTGTCTCAATCTGAACTGCCTTCAGATTCAAAAGCAAATCGTCTCTGGAGAAATGTAACATCATCCAGAGCCTTGAAACGTCTCTACCATTTTCATGCAAAATTACTGGCATTCAACCCCAAATCATCGGGCATACTAGAAACCGAGAAGAAAGGATCAAAGCAAGAGAAAAATAGACGAGAGAAATAGACCAACAGAGGAGCCAGTTATCCTAATAGTTCTAATATCACAACTATTAGACATAAATGTTAATATACAAAACAGGTATAACAATAGTGCCTAGTGATGGCAGCAGCGGCACATCTGGAGTGGCTGCTATGAAGACACTGGCTGCAGCAGGGGAGGCACAGCAGGGGCTGCATGCTCTATAGAGCCCCCGTGGGAGCCAGGAACAAGTGGGGGCCCTGCCCCCTTCCGAGCTGACGGGGCAGGAGCCCCGCCTTACTGGGCACAGATGCAGCCACCCAGCCATGGCTGCGGGCCTGGGTATCCCTATGCTCTCAGGGGCCTGGGAAACCCCTCAGCCTCCACAGGCTTGGAAGTGCTTGCTCCTGCTGCCTGGCCTCTCCTTGCTCCCAGTGCCTGCTCCAATTTCAGAGCAAAGTTCTGGCTGAGCCTAGGTGCTATTGTGACTCAGCTAAGTGTGCACGTGCTCAGGGCAGCACTAACATTCCAGCCCCCTGCTGCCTTGGCCTCCTCCAGGCTTTGGGCACCAATGAGCATGGAAGGGAGGCCAAAGGGTGGCTGAGAGTGGCTCAGAGGAGGCCTGCAGGAACCCCTCAGCACAAACAGCCTGAGTGCTGTGGATAAAATGTGATGGCAGCAAGAGACAGACAGGCTCCTGGGCAGAAAGGGGCAGGTCCCCGGTGATGCCTCACTTTCAATCCAGGGATGACCTGAAGCATGGGGGCTTGGCTGCCCATTCCAGGTGGAGTTTGTGGCTGGGAGTGAGAACTTATGATGCTTTTTCCGGGCCCACTCATGGCTACCCATGGACCAATTATCATGCACGTCCTCCCTTCTGATGCCCACAGAAACCCCAGCCCCAGCCAGACTCACAGAGATGTTGGAATGACCTGCCTACAGATAGGAGCTAAAACCGTAGGTCTCTTCTTGGTTGAGAGCTGAACACTAGTCAGGACGACCTGCCTCCAGAAAGGAGCTACCCACTGCGTATCTCCTGAGAGCTGTTCTGTTACTCAATGAAACTTCTCTCTGCCTTGTTCACCCTCCAGTTTTATGTATACCTCATTTCTCCTGGATGTGGGACAAAAACTCAAGACCTGTTGAATAGCAAGACTGTAACACAAACAGGGCTGAAACATTCCCCTTGCTCACCATGTTTCAGGCAGTGAAAAGGAGAAAGGAACTGCAGGTCTTCGCAGAGCTCAGACCTAGGGGCTCCTTGAGCCAGGGCTATGACACCCCGCTTGGGGCTTTGTAATCCCTAGTGTCTCCAAGCTTCCAGGTACCACCATGTTCCCCTCATCCAGACACGGGTGTCCATAGTGGAAGCTGCATGTGGTACACGTGGTTCAGCCAGAGCCTCACATGGGGCCAGCTCCTGTGCCAACACCTGCAGCTGCCTGCCCTGTCGCAGCAGTCAGCATGCCTGGCTGTGCACAGTGGCCAGACCCCACACTCACTCGCCCACATATCCCTTGCCACTCTGCACCTGGCTCACCCTTGGCAGGTGTGGGATCTGGGCTGATAGTATGAGCCAAGCACAGCCTGCCAGGCTGAGTGGGTGGAACAAATCCAGCGGGTCCAAGTAATACTCAGGCGGAAGGTGCCACCAGCCACAGGGGTTTCCAGCTGGCAAAGTTACACCCCAAGGATCTCATGACAGTTCTAAATATGTTGATACATGTTTAATGTTAAGAATAACTCCTGGTGCATAGTCAATTGATATAAGTTCTTATTAAATATAACAAATTATTTTGGAGTCATGTTCTGTTGTTGGAAAATATCAATCTCTTATTCAGTGGACATTTACTGGGTCAGCTAGGAACTATGAATAAAAATAAGGGGAGGGTCCTGACTTCAAGATGCTCACAGTGGAATGAAGATAGAAATTTCTCAGAAAGGGAAGATCTTAAAGGGTTGTTATAAAGAACAGAGGGAGAGTAGTAATCAGAGGAGAAGTATATATGGAAAATGGATATAGGTAAACAGAATAGACAGGTAAATAATATGGCATATACTGTGGCCAGGGATATGGCCAGCTGGAGTCTGATGTCTTATCAAAGCCTTTGGGCATTGGTTGGGATCTTCTCCCATTCCTGGGGCAGCTAGGACAGTACCCAGTTTTATATGGTAGAAAACAGAGGCCCAGAGAGGTTAAGGGATTTTCCCTGGGCCAAAGGAGAGTTAGCATTGAGGCCAGGACAGCCTCTTGACTGACAGTCAGTGCTCTTTCTCTTTCTTCATTATAGTACTATTTCAGAATATGGGACCCCAAGCCAAGGCGAAGGGCACACACATACAGCAAGAATCTCTCCAGTAATTTTCTTTAATCCTCCTTGGCAGCGAGAGTCTATATTGCCTTTTCCAAGACTCAGCTTGGAAAAGGCTGAAGATTCTGATTACTTCTCAGCTAAGGGTCTGCAGCTGTGAACAACCCTGCTCGAGCCTCTTTTCCAGGCAGGAGGCCCTCCAGGATGTTGATGGGCAGCATGGCTTCATTCCGAAAGGCCAGGTGTTAGAGACATTGACCATCCACGGCTCGCTCAAGTTTTGTAAAATGTACTCACTGTCATAGGGCCATAGGAATCATAGGCTCAGGCCCTTTGAGGTTTCCCTGCTAGCTTGCTGCTTGGAGAAACAGCCAGATCATAACTGAAGATTTATGGTTCCTTAACTTGGAAGGCTCTTATCTCTCCCGGCCTTTGTGAACTTCCCTGTAGTTGTCTTCATTTGCTTTTGGCTTCTTCACCTGGAAAAAAAAAAGGCTGCGCCCAGGAAGCTCTACTCCAAGGGAATAGACACAAGAGCTGAGAATAGCATCATAGCCCCAACTGCCAGGATAAGAGCAGCATACTGAGAATGGCATTTGTGGAAAGGTAAGCCTATTTTGAGTAGATGTCTGCTATCGCTATGAATGCATGAGACATCTCCTTGCATGGGACCAACATCAAGCCCAGGCTGAGCTGGAGGAAACTCTCCTGGGAGGGCAGGTGGAGGCAACTCCAGAGTGGGGGCTGGAAAGGAAAAGTCATCCTGCCTCTATTTAAGACATGACAGCAATATGAGATGGAGGAACATGAGAAATACCATGGAAGGTCACATATGTGACACACTTACGTTCTATACTTTGACATTTGTTGCTGGGGACATGCTGGCTATAAAGTTATTACTCAGGTCAGCCTCATTTTCTTGCAGATAGGAGCTAACCACTGCCGGTCTCTTCTCAGCTGAGAACAATTGATGAATGAGAAGAGTAAAGGGCTGGGAGAGTACTCCTGCCTTCATATCCCAGCCTCCCTGCTCATCAGTGGGGTGATGTGTACCTTAACCTTTCTGAGTTTCAATATCCCAACCTGTAAAGTGAGGATTATGATATCTGCCCTGGCAATGTGTCAGAGGATTTTTTTTGAGGGGTAAAAGAGCTTGAATTTTTGTGAAAAGCACATGGTTAACCATAAAGCAGTGATGTAGTCTCCAGACCTGTTGCCTGTCCATAAACAATGTTTCCAACTCATAGAGCGGCCTGGGCTAGAATGTAAATCAATGGTCATAAACACACTTTAGTTCAGGGGACAGTGTTTTAATAGTAAGGCTTTCTCATTTAAGGATGTAATGCTAGGGAAAATTCCTCATCTCATTGTGGATCTGCATTTTGAATAGCACTGCTGTAAACACAATACTCACGGACATCTCTTGCCTTAAATTCCTGTATCCCAAGTCCCCTACTCCCCTCTAACCCTACCAGCCTATCCACCTGTTGAATGCTTACTCATTTTTCAAGATAGAGCTCAAATATCTCCCAAGCAAGATCCCTGAAGCAAAACCAATTCCATCCCCCTTGGGCCTCCACTGTGTGGCAATTATGAATGCAGTATCCGTCCCCCAATTAGGCTGTAATGTTCTTGAGGTCATTCACGCATTTGTTCAGAGACTGGCATAGAGGAGTTGCTCAATATGTACTTGTCTAGTGAATGAAAGTTATATGAAGTGTTGCTTCGTCTCTGCCTATTTCTCAGGTGGGTGCCATTAAATCTGTTGGAGCCTGAATAGCTTCCAGGTGTGGTGATTGAGATGCAATCCTGCCTGGAGGCTGAGAAAGGAGCCACTAACCCTTTGAAATTTAAAGACTTCATGGAACTTGATTCACTCACCACACAATTATTAGTTACAACCACGTGGCAGGCTTGGCATAAGGCACTGGGAATACAACTATGAAGTAAATACAATATCTGCTCTTCAGGACATGCAATACCTGTGTAGGCATATGCTTATAGAAGGTGGAGTAAGGCCTGTCTCTGATACCTGGAAATCCAGCATCATGTGTCCACCCCTCGATGTTGGGTTAGGCAAACTCTTTGCAAATGAGGGATTAATAATATGGAGTGAGTCAGTCTTGCTTTCTGAAAAAATCCCTCAGAACCTCATTTGCAGATGAGGAAAAGGATTGCTATTTAGATGGCAGGAGAGAGAGGTTAGGATCAAGGAAGGGCAACCAAAAGTCAGGGGTCGAGCAAGGGAGGGCTCAGCCTAGTTCTCAGCCCAGGGAGGGCTCAGCTTAGTTCTCAGCCCGGGGAAGGCTCAGCCTACTTCTCAGTCCACAGTACCCTTTCCCTGATCTTCCTGCCTACCCGTTGTCCTATTTCTAGATGCAGCTCCTGTACTTGGTCCCTCCTACCTTTGGGCTCCTCTCTCTGTTTGGTTTATATAATTCTGGCACTTACCCAGCTCTTTTATAACTATTGGTTTGTATGCCTACTTCTCCAGGAAGCACAGACCATATTTCCTTCCTTTTATCTTTTGCCCCAAATGTGTATTTCCTGAATCAATGAATAATTATCTCCATTTATACAAATAAAGACCTAAGCTCAGAAATACTGCCCCCTCCTGACATCACAGGCTGGGTCAAGATGTGAGCTGGATCTTCTGACTCCAGCAGGGGGCTCTTTCCAGGAGGCCCAGCCACACCTGCAGGATGGCCCCAGGACCATTGCTGGAACACTACTACTCTAGATCAACTTTTCTATCCTGAGAAGTAGAAACTGAGGCCTAAAAGGGGACAGCAGCTTATGGTCTGAAAGTTTGAAAATAATGGCAAAGCGAGGGCCTGAATTAAGTTTTCTAGTCTCTTAAGTCAGCAAATCTAGAAGTCATTCTTGACATTTCCTTCACAAGTCATCTCCTATTCAAATTGTTACAGAACGCAGCTAGGGTCCACTTGCCCAGTGCAGTAAGGCTAAACATCCACACAGAGGTTTGCAGCAGGAGAAAGGAGGGCATTTATTTTCAGGGCACCAAGCAAGGAGAACTGGGCAGCTCATGCTTAAGACTCAACCTCCCTGACAGCTTGCAAGTAAGGGCTTTTAAAGGTGGGGAGAAAGAGATTACAGGCAGTCATATATCAATACACGGAGGCTATCCATTGGTTTAACCTAAAAAGGCGAAACATCTCAAAGCAGCAGCTTACAGGTCATAGGTAGATTCAAAGATTTTCTCATTTGCAATTGGCTCAGGACACAAAGCTTGGTCTAAAAATATGAGGTCAGAAAAGAATGTTAATTCTGGCTCATGAACATAGCCTTACCTCCAGGCCCCTCAGGAAGAAATTGAGAGCAAAGAACAGAGGTCAGAGTTCAATTCTCAGCCCTCCCTTATCTGAGGTCTATGTGCCAGTGGGTCTATTTGATGGGGGCCTGGGGTGCTGCAAAACAGCTCAAGAATGTAAGCTGAGTCATCTTTAGTTTTTATAGGGAACATCTCGTGACTCTAACTTCCTTGGCTGTTGTTTTAAGCTATTATTACCTTCTTGCTTATCAAGTTGCTCACTTACATCTCACAGACACTTGGGTGCCTGGAATTTCCCCTGAATAAACCCAAGATTTTCCTTTATTTTTATGCTTGCAGTTGGGAACAGCAGGCCTTTAGGAGGAGTCCCTACTTATCTCAAAATTATTACTAAATCCAGCGGATTCTGCCTCTTTTATGTCTCATTTCTTTCTGTCTGCACTGTCACTGAATTAGGCCTTCAGCAGCCTTCTTTTTTTTTTTTTTAGTGTGTCATTTATCTTTCTTTTTCTTTTTATATTTTATTGCATTTTAAGTTTTTGAGTACATGTGAAGAACATGCAGGATTGTTGCACAGGTACATAGATAGCAATGTGGTTTGCTGCTTTCCTCCCTATCACCTATATCTGGCATTTGTCCCAGTGTTATCCCTCCCCAACTCCTCACCCGCCGCTGTCCCTCCCCTAGTTACCCCCAACAGACCTCAGTGTGTGATGCTCCCCTCCCTGTGTCCACGTGTTCTCATTGTTCAACACCTGCCTATGAGTGAGAACACGCGGTGTTTGATTTTCTGTTCTTGTGTCAGTTTGCTGAGAATGATGGTTTCCAGGTTCATCCATGTCCCTACAAAGGACACGAACTCATCATTTTTTATGGCTCAGCAGGCTTCTTTAGCCTTCTGCTGCATGTCATTATCCTTCATACTCCAGGCAGAGTGGTCTTTCTAAAAGAAAAACCCAGGCATGCCCTTTCTCTTTTTGTCTGACTTCTCAGTTCTCCAGCCTCCTTCTCAGCATTCAACTTCTAACTCAGGGGGTTTCCCATACTGTCCCGCCCTTGCCTTCTCCAGCCTTTAAAACCCTCTCAGGCTGCTCTGGAGTCCCCCGTGTCAGTCCGAAGGCCTTGAAACCAGATCTTCCTCTGACCAGTCCCTTTGAGTTAATGAACTGGTTGCTCATCTGCCTGGCTTTGGTAATTAGTTCAGACTCACCCTGATGTTTCTGACAAACCCTGTGGGTTAGCCCAACAGCAGCCCCATCCCTACCTTATCCTTAACGTACTCTCTGAGCCTCTCTAGCGCTTGAGTTATCAGTCTGGGTGTCATCATTTTAGCTCTCACTTGTCTGGAAGGGCTACCAGAATGAAGGAATAAATGGCTCTCTGTACTTTCTCTCCTACTTCTTACTCAGGCCCCAGTATCCTCATCCTATGCTGTGGTTCTTAGTCCTCCTGAGGGAATGTGTTCTCTTTCTGGGTCCACAAGGGGTCATGGTTTTAAGGGCAAGAACTTCCTCGTGCCATGCCCCACTCCCATCTCTCTCCATCTGGGAGATTTAATGGTTTTGTTTAAATTTCGCAGGTGTGGGAAGAAACTAAGTCAGTCACTCCAGTGGAAGTTCTAAGGAACTCCTTTCATTGGCCTGGGGTCTTAGAGAAGGTGGGGTTCCTCCCAGGTTAAAAGTCCCCTTCTTCCACACCCCTTTGGACTCCATGTTTGGGTACCCTTCCACGAACACTCCCTTTGTGGAAGCCGTCTTTATCTCTCCTGGATTTTCCCTGTGTACTACCCTTCCACACACTCTCGTGGAAGCCTGTTTTCCCCTCCTAAACTCCATCTCTCTCTATTCCCTAACACTCTCTTGGAAGCTGCTTTCCTCTCCTGGATCCCATCTTTCTGGATTCTGTCACTCAGTGTGAGAGTTACCTGTTTCTATCTCTCTCCTTCTCCTGTTTCTCTCTTTAAATAGATCACTTTCTACAAACACTTTTGAGTCCGGCATTTACTGTGCACTGCACCATAGCCCCTCTCTCATTCTTGAGAGGTCAGGAGAACCTGGAGAAACATCCTCTCAGGGGAGCTGAGGGCACCCTGAACCTCTAAACCCCAATATTACACTCCTGCAGCTCCCTCACTCTATACCTACCCTCTCTGAAGTGACCCATTCTCCAAAGTAATCTCACCCTTTC